TACCCTGTTGTTGATTTGCACCCAGGAAACTGAACAAGAAAGTGAGAATCAGCACATGACCGGCGTCTTTCTGCTCCCAGGGTTTGCTCTGCTTTTCTTTCTGCTGTCTTTGCTTTAATTCTAATCGATGCAATTTCTCTCCAAGTTACAAATGCTGTCACTCCATTCCTGAGACGGTGATGCTACAGTAAAGAAGGGGAGAGCAAGTGGTGCTGGTCTAACTAGATATTTCCTGTATGGAAACCAGGAACACACACACACACATGCACACAAAGACGCACTCGCACCCCGGACCTCTGGAAGAAAATATAGGACAGGTAGGGTGTGGCTCAGTCAGGAGAGTGGGGCCCTGGATTCACTGCACAGAAACGAACTGTGGTGGTTTAGGTGTGCAGACCTGTAATCCTAGAGCTCAGAGGTAGAGGCAGGAGGATCTAAAATTCAAAGTTATTCTCATTTCTATTGTCTTGAAAAAAAAAAAAAGTGCTTTCATGATGACAGCATGGGTTCAGACCCAAAGCACTGTTGTAAAAAGCTGAGCAAGCTGGGCATTGGTGGCACACCCTTTCATCCCAGCACTCGGGAGGCAGAGGCAGAGGATCTGTGTGAGTTTGAGACCAGCCTGGTCTACAAGAGCTAGTTCCAGGACAGCCTCCAAAGCCACAGAGAAACCCTGTCTCGAAAAACCAAGAAAAAGACAAAAACAAAGACAAAAACAAACCAACCTCGGTACTGGAGGAAGATAGAGACAAGAGGGTCTCTGGGACTTATGGGCCACCAGCTTCGTCAGTCCGGAACAATGAGCTCTAGGCTCAGTGAGCTCCTACCTCCAAGGGAGAGGACAAAGAACATCAGCATCCACTGGCCTCCATGAATACCTTTGTGGGTGAACAGACTGTACACAGGTGTGTATGTCCTTAGAAAAAGAGAGAAAAGAGGGGAAAAAAGGCTTCACTGTATCAGAGGTCAATCTTGACTTTTATAATAATACATGAACACATCAGACCTGTTTCCAGAATCAACATATACAAGACATTTTATGCTAGGACTAAGTCAGGTGATGATGCCGATGATTTTATTTGAAGCAAGGTCTTCTCTGTACCCCAGGTTGACCTCTGCTTGTGACAGTCCTCTCTCTGACACCTGAGTGCTGGAATGATAGGTGTTTCCCATCGTGCCCAGGTGGACTTAGTTTATCTTATGTAAGGTTGGTTTTGCATATGAAATCAGTCATCAGCAAGACGACTCAGCAGATTTTCCTCTGCAAGTTGTCCTCTGACCTCAATAGGCCAGGGAGACCATTAAGTCTTTGATGTTAACTTGATTGCATTTAGTCACTTTATTTTTATTTTTAATTTTTTAAAAATTTTTATATGTATTTGTGTTTTTTACCATGGGTGTCAGGGTCCCCTGAAACTGGAGTTACAGACAGGTGTGAGCTGCCATGTGGTTTTTGGGAATTGAACTCAGGTCCTCTGGAAGAGCAGTCAGTACTCTTAACCCCTGAGCCATCTCTCCAGGCCCAAGTCTCTTTGTTTTTAAAGGCAAGCCACAGGATGGCAAATGACTTACTTTTTTTTTTCTGTAAAACTCTTTAAGTCAACATTGAAAGAGGAAGAACTAAATAAAAGAATGGATTGAAAGGTAATTTTACAATGATATAAACATGGCCCTTAAACAAATCAGGGAATGCCCCATTTGTTATTAGGAAATACAATACAAATTAAAGTCATAGTGAGAGCTCACTGCACACATATCAGATGACTAGAAATTCAAGAGTCTCAAAACAGTCTGTGCTGTGAAGGGTTCAGAGAAACCAGAATTGTTTAACTTAACTTTGTTGTTATTTGTTGTCATTGACACAGATTCTTGTGCATCTTAGGCTGGCCCCGAACTTGCTAGATGAAGATGATCTTGAACTTTTGATCTACCTGCCACAATCTCCAAAATGCTGGGATTATAGGTTACACTACCACACCAGGTTTGTGCCAAGCTGGGGAAGGAACCCTGGATGTCAAGCATGCTAGGTAAGCACTCTGTCTAAAAAGCTACATCCCCAGTCAACAACTTGTAATCCTCCTGCCTCAGCTTCCCAAGTGCTGGAATTATAGGTGTGTACTGCCTGTCTAGTTCACATGGGAACTAGAGAGGGTCAAAGGTATGGTTGGGTCCACATGGCCTGTGGTGTGTCAGGTACTTGGTGGGGGCATAGTTTATGGTAAATATTGTTTCCAGTGACTTGATGCTCATACTGCTGTCTCCTAAAACCCCAGTGGTTCCAGGTCCTTGACAACTCAGGACCTTTGGTGTTTAGCTTCAGGTTACAAAAATTCATATTGTCACATTTGAGCAGCAAGTTAATTTGTTTCATTTGTTTGTTGGTTTGTTAGAGGCAGGGGCTTACTATGCAGCCCAGGCTGGCCTTGAACTTGTGGCAAGCCTCTTGAATCAGACTCCTATTTCTGGGGGTCTTAAGCATGAGACACCACAACCAGCTTGAAAGGGAATTTTTTTGTTTGTTTGTTCGGTTTTTTTGTTTGTTTGTTTTGTTTTGTTTTAAGGCATTTTCTACACGTAACTGAAATGAGCAACGCATGCTTGATTGAAACCTCTTTATTTTTAAAATGCATGCATTTACTCTTTCATCGATTCCATGGTCACTTGAAGGAGAACCCACCCAGGTGAGAGAGGTACCATCAGAACAGGAAACAAGTGGGGCCGCACCATCCGCAGCCGAAACCAGGGCCCTGTCTTCCTGCACCAAGGATATCCTCAGCCTGTGCAGAGCCACTATGGGAGCCTCACTGGGTCAGCATCATTGTTGAAAAGCAGAGCAATAAATCGGCTCACTTGATCCCACCCATTCTGCCCACTTCTCCCCTCCTTCCTTCCCAAGCATTAATTATCAAAAGAAGAGTTTCTTGTGGGTGGGAGACGTTAGTTTTAAGGCTGGAATATTCAGGCTGACTACCCCTCTCCCCCAAGTACCAGGGATGGAGGGAAGCCCCCCTCAACATAAGGGTTTTGTTTGTTTTTGTTTTGTTTTATTTTGAAAGCAGAAAATGGCCAGGAAAGCATTATATGTTAGGGCTTGTGCAGGGCTTAAGCAGGGAGCTGGTGAACACGCTTAATCCCAACGTTGGGGAAGTAGAGGCAGGAGGAGCTCTGTGGATTCAAGGTTAGCCTGGTCTACATGGTGAGTTCCAGGCCAGTCAGGGCTATGTAGAAACCCTGTCTCAAAAGAATCTGTGAGTGTGTGTGTGTGTGTGTGTGTGTGTGTGTGTGTGTGTATGTCTGTGTGTGTCTGTGTGTGTGTGTCTGTGAGTGTGTGTGTGTGTGTGTCTGTGTGTGTCTGTGTGTCTGTGTGTGTGTGATGTGTGATGCTCCTGTGTGAGCATACCCGGAAGCCAGAGGACATCAAGTGTGCTGCTCTATTGTTCTCAGTCTCACTCTTGTGACACAGGCTTTCTTACTGATCCTGAAGCCAGACTGGTGGTCAGCCAGCCACCACGATTCTCCCATCTCTACCTCCTCCCAGTGCTGGGGTTGCAGGTCCATCTCATCACACGTATGGGTTCTGGGGCTTTGAACTCAGGTCCTTATGCTTGTACAGCAAGCACTCTTGGCCACTGAGCCATCTCCCTAGGCCCCCAGTGACCTTTTCTTTAAAAAACAAAAGAAAAAAATTTCTTACATTTAATTTTTTGTTTATTGTGTTTGTGGTGCACCACAACACACATGTAGAGATGAGAGACTAGCTTACAGGAATCTGTTCTCTCCTTCTACCGTGTGGTTCCTGAGGATCAAACTTAGGTTGTCAGGATTGGTTATGTGTACCTACTGAGCCATTATATGAGCTTTGCAAGGTACAGCTTGGATGCAAATTTTTGTTGTTGTTGTTTTTGGTTTTTTTTGTTTGTTTGTTTTTAGAGACAGGGTTTCTCTGTGTAGCTTTGGAACCTGTCCTGGCACTCCTCTGTAGACCAGGCTGGCCTCGAACTCTCAGAGATCTGCCTGCCTCTGCCTCCTGAGTGCTGGGATTAAAGGCATGTGCCACCACTGCCCAATTTTGGGTTTAAATCTTAATTTCGAAATGTTTGACCCTGCTAGTGGATCGTTTTCTGGTCAGGGTCCAGAGATCAGCTGCCACAGAGAATAGGTTGTCTATGTTGTGTGTTGACTGTCTCTGCAAGGTGACTAGGAAGGACACAGGAAATGCAGAATTTAATGGGTCTCAAAATACTTGTCCCAGAGGCAAGGAGATATCAAGGAAGCTTAGCATCCAAATAAAAAGGAGCCAAAAGATAAGGATAGTCCACCTGGGGCAGCAAGAAGGGTCCTGAGCAGGTACTACACAGCCCAGGTCCACAGGCACTGAAACAATGTCTCATCCTAGAGCTAGCTTCTGCTCCTCAGGGACCTTCTCCTGGCTACTAATGAAGTAGATTTTTTTGGAGAATACTGTTTATTCTGTACTATATTTTAAATTAAACATCTCCGTGTGCAGCCAAAGCTGGCCATGTAATCACAATGTTCCTGCCTCTACTGAGTGCTGAGATGACAGGCATACACCACCAGTCCAGTCTCTGATACCCTTTGCTGTCCCTTAAGGGGGAGAATGTTCTGGCTGGCCATCATGAGCTGGAATAGGTTAGACGTTACCAAGTTGGGTTTTGTAGTTAGTTAGTCAAAGTTAGTTTCCCTACACCTGATATGGGATTGAGAATCTGTTCTGCAAAGTTGTAACAAGATGCTCCCAGTTGGCAGACCCTGGGTGACATTATCATTAGCACTCTCTGACCCCTGACCAGAACACTCAGAAATCTGTCTGTCTGTCTGTCTGTCTGTCTGTCTGTCTGTCTGTCTGTCTGTCTGTCTGTCTGTCTGTCTGTCTGTCTGTCTGTCTGTCTGTCTGTCTGTCTGTCTGTCTGTCTGTCTGTCTGTCTGTCTGTCTGTCTGTCTGTCTGTCTGTCTGTCTGTCTGTCTGTCTGTCTGTCTGTCTGTCTGTCTGTCTGTCTGTCTGTCTGTCTGTCTGTCTGTCTGTCTGTCTAGCTGTAGCATTTGTGGGGCAAGAACCAGACTCACACCAGTATCCCCAGCATGGTTCTTCTCATCAGGTGACAAAAGATTGTCCTTAGCTCTTTGGTATAGTGGCAGCAGGATTATGGACACAGCTGGGGTGGCCAGGCAGAACACAGTTAAGGATGGCTTCAAGCTGCAGGGGGCTGTATGAAAGGTGCCTCTCAGTTTACCCAACCAGAAAGAACTCAGTGAAGCTGCCAGAAGAGTGGGCTTCTGGGTCATCAAAGCTCTTTGCAGAGGAAGGGATGGTGCTGGGACAGGGTCACCGTGTCTCCACTTGGATGTCTGCAGGGTTGAAGGTCACTGTAGCAGGCTGCTGGCTGCCATTGCTGTTTGGGTCCAGGGGAGGAGGCACAGGTGGCTTCGGACTCTTGGGCTCCAGCTCCCGCCTAGTTCTCATTCTCCTGTAAGAGACAGTGAGGAATGGGTTCCCTGACGATGGCTTGTCATCAAGTCACATTGTTACAATCAGGAAGGACCTTCGATGCCAGCCTGGCTCACTTCGGAAGGTTCTGTTTAACTTTAAACTGCTAAACTTCATTCTGCCCCTGACAAGGAATGGAGTCAGAGCCGAGGCTGCATTTAAGTTTAAGTGGAGCCTCAAGGGTTGCAGCGTGCTCATGCATGCTGAGTATTTTGCTAGGAACATTTAAGAACACCTTATGTAATTGAGAAGAGAACAGACTTAAAATGTCTACAGTCCCAGGACTTTCGACGCTGAAGTGAGAACACCAAGAGTTTGAGGCTAGCCTGGACTACATAGGAAGACTCTGTCTTAATCTAGCAAAATGTATATCCTATCTTCATTTTATATACCATAAGATTAGATAGCTAACAACAATGAGTTCTGATGATATTTCATCCATTCATAGATCCTAATTCCTTAAAACCCTTTTCTCATTTCCAGCAGGCATCAGTGTAAGCAGTGTGAAGTCATAGGGTACCCACCCACATGTCAATCAGAGCTTCAGCAATGATGGACAGAATGACAGGAGACCTGGAATTCAATGCCACCTCCTTGTTTCTAATAGGCTCCCATGGTAACACTCCAAAGACTTTAAAAATAACGCTTGATGCTACTATTGTTTTTGAGACAGGGTTTTATATAGCCCAGGCCAGCCTCGAATTCATCATGTAGCTGTGGATAACTTTATACTTCTGACCCTCCTGCCTTTACCTCCTGAGTGGCACCATACTTATTTATGCAGAGCCGGGTATCGAACCCAGGCCTTCACGTATGCTAGGCAAGTGCTCTATCCGCTGAACCACATGCCCTGTTATTATTTCATGTTATGGTGGGAATGTTTTCTTTAAAATCAGATGGATTTTCTGGTTCCAAGAAAAAGAGCACACGTGCCAGATTGGTTTTTCGAGTTAATATCACAAGGAAAGATGGATCCACTCTGACATTACAGACACCCTCTTCCCCCATTTTGTGTACTCAGCCAGCAGGAGCTCCTGAGATCTTAAAGAAAAGCTTGCATAGCTGTTCAGTGAAAGGAGAGGAAGAAATGTTTTTAATTGGGAAGAACTTTCTGAAAGGAACTAAAGTTATTTTCCAAGAAAATGCTTCTGATGAAAACTCTTGAAAATCAGAAGCTGAAATAGACATGGGATTGTTCCATCAGAACCATCTTATTGTGAAGGTTCCCCTGTACCATGACCAGCTTTGCCTGTATCAGTGGGAATATACGTTGTGACTGATGCTGGAAGATGTCACGATGTTCAGCCATTCACTTACACTCCAGACCCAGCAGCCGCTGGTGCTTTGAATGTAAATGTGAAAAAGGAGGTTTCTAGTCCAGCAGGACCTTGCTCTTTTGAAGAAGGCATGAAAGGTACCAAGTTGGTATTTCTCAGATACTAATAATGGTCATCCCGTGTGTTCACTAGTAAACCTTGGTGCTTTCTTTTCTCTGATGTATTGTGATTCTTAGCAAGGTGTTTTGCAAATTATAAAATACATATTTGTTTAACTTTCCTGAAAAGAAAATAAAACCAAATAGATTGGGTTTGAACCTCAGCTCTGACAAAGGGGGCAGGAGGGCAGAGCT